CGGAGCTGGAGGCCTCATCCCAAAAATCCAATACTTACATTAAATGATCCTAGGCCAAGAGCAAAAATACAACAGGAATAACTGTTACCGTTTCGGAAAATGTTTTTGAAAGAGGAGTGGCCAAACTCGGGTACACCCGGCCCCAATCCGGCCACTATCGGGTGCCTTGTTTTACACAGTCGGCAGCGCCCTCCTGGCGCCATCTGATTGGCCGACGCCCGCCCTTACCCGGCCCTGACCCTATTCCCACCGGGTGCACCCGATCTTGGCTACTCACCCCCCGGAGGGGTACCCGATCGTACTCTCGCCTACCCGAANCCCTCCTGGCGCCATCTGATTGGCCGACGCCCGCCCTTACCCGGCCCTGACCCTATTCCCACCGGGTGCACCCGATCTTGGCTACTCACCCCCCGGAGGGGTACCCGATCTTACTCTCCCCTACCCGAAAATGGCTGGGCTATTCGAGAGTTCCGCCGCGTTAGCCGCGTTAGGTCCGCCTCCGCCCGCCGTCGCAAGCGTCGGAACTCGAGTGTGGGGTGTTGGTGACGTGTGTTCGTGAGCGTGGTCTGCTGGTGGACTGTTGGTCGAATAGCCCAGTCATTTTCGGGTAGACGAGAGTAAGATCGGGTACCCCTCCGGCCCTCCGGGGGGTGAGTTATTCGATAAAGTTACACCATTAGACTAGTCAGCGCTGACTCGTCTAATGGTGTAACTTTATCGAATAAAAGATATGCTCAGAGCTCATTTGCACCCGGCTGGATCACTTGGGACTGTGTTCTTGGATCTCCGGGGACGGACCCCTCGCCAGGCGCTGCAGGAGAAGAACTAAGGGTGCTTGTGAAAGTGGCCATCTGGGATTCGAATCGTGTGTGTACCACTTGTTAGTAAAGGCTTACCCCATTAGACTACTGAGTCAGCATGGTGAAACTTTATCGAATATGAGTACCCAAGATCGGGTGCACCCGGTGGGAACAGGGTCAAGGCCGGGTAGGGGCAGGCGTCGGCCAATCAAATGGCGCCAGTAGCGCGCTGCCGACTGTGTAAAACAAGTGTACCCGATAATGGCCGGATTGGGGCCGGGTGTTCCCGATTTTGGCCACTACTCTTTTTGAAATGATGTGTTTGATCATCTGATTGGATAAACATCCGGTGAGATTCGGGTTGAAGGGCGATTCCGTTGAACAACTTGCCACGATGACATACCGCTGGCGTGTAATACAGACACATATCCCTACGCACGAAGGACGGTTTGTGATGGAGGTGTACCATACAGACACGTGTTCATGCTTGCAAATGACGGTTTGTGCTGTAGATCACCGACGCACCGTATGCACGGCGAATGTACGGATGTGACATTTCTGCAGGATGTGATCTATCTGCAGGCCGGTTGATGCCGTACACCACTGTCATATGTTGAACACGCGTGGTAGAAGGTGCGCAATAATGCTGTTGTGCCAATGTTCCCAACACTTGTGGATATTGACGCGCCGAAATCTTGTATTGGATTAGAACGGGCAACAAAACACACAACGAAAGCAAAAAAAAAGCTGAAAGCATCCTAAAATCAAGATGTAAACGCGTCATCAGCTCTCTGCAATTTAGTACTTAAGTATCTAAAATAGTATACTTCTAATACAAACATTGGGACGATTTGCAAAGTATCCAAACACGATACTGCCGCCGTGGACAGTGGAGTTCTTGCCTGTACGATTACCCAACTTCAAAAAACCGGATGTAGACTATACCTATCCCGGGCGGGAGTCGAGAGAGCATAATACTTCGATTTTCCGCCAACAGCACGCTACACAGTAGGTTGGTCTCGGCCTGTCTTCGCCGAAGACTGATCTACACTCGTTTATTAAAAAAGAGTCGGATGCCTCTCGTTGCATGTGCTGGACCGCCCACCGGGACTTACATGTCCTTTCTCCTGAGCCCGCATGTTGAAATAGCAGACCCCGGTAGTGATTGACTGCGCCTGAGGTGGTGCATTGTTGATCGGCACCGCCAATCACACCCAGTACCCGTTGGAGCAATGACACAAGGGCGGGCGGGAAGCAGTCCAATGCCTGAGGTTTCTTGTGCAAGGGGGGGAATAAGCGCATAAACCCATCGCCGGTTGTGTATTCCACACAACAACACCAATCAATATCACACAAAGATGACCGCAGCACCAGCAGCAACATCAGCAACGTGAGCAACAACGCACCAGAATTTGAGCCCGGCCGGGGCACAGGAACATATATCGGTACACTGGGCGGGAGGTGGGCAAGTAGCCTCGCCCGAAAGCGCTGACTGCTCCCATCATCTCCCGAAAAAGCAGGGGACACACGTGGAAACGATCCAGGGACCGCCCACTGTCAGAGGTGCTCCTCTTCGGAAGGACACGGCGAGGAGGCTGATCGGTAGAATAATATCAAGACGGAGGGGGAAGAGCTTTGTTGCACTCTCAATGAGCGCACTTGTAGTAGGACCGGGTAGCGAGAGCCTTCGCAACGTGTTTGCGTGTTCATCCGGTGACTACCATCGGCATGGCTCCTGGCCGTGCCATGCACCGACATCTCGCTTTCACCACCTTCCCCGCAATTCTGCCCTGTTGGATTCGGTGGAAGCTTAACACAGAAGATTCTTAGCCGATTGCCTTTCCATCTCTTGCAACGGGTCCCTTTCGTAAGCCATGCCCTGCACTCTGCGTCCGACAAAAAACGGATATTCATGCTTACACCATGATTCTTTCATGAGGTCCACTCCTCCGCGGGGAGGGCGGTTCCGGCGACAGATTCGCCGCCAACAACGTTCTTCTGGGCGGGAGTAAAACGCCTCACACTGAGGAATCTATCGATACTGCTGTTGTCCCAACACAGGGCTTTGCCAACGAACGACCCGCATTGTCCGTCCCCTCGAGCGCTGGGGGATGATCGCACCACGTTGTGTTCAAATAGTCAAGCACCCTCGAGGCAGTTACACAGTGCTCACAACTGTCTCAGGAAGTGAAAGCACCAGAAAGTAAATTAAGTCATACGCAGCTGTCATCCGTACGCAAGGAAGCAAGCACAAGATGCCGAACACCCTTAGCAGGATGCAGCGCACCCTTCATGCGACTCGCCGAATATCTCAGGGCGCTTCGCGCTTGGTGATGTGAGAGCCTGGTCCGGTGAGAACCCGGCGTGCTCCATCACGGCTTTGTAGGGATGCGAGGTCAATGGTCT